ATTTTGCTATAACAGGCAAAGGACTGTCATGATATTACTATGTATGAGAGCCAGTGAAGTGACCATTGTGCATCAGAAGCAATGCACATCAGGTGCCAATATGCATCAAGCACTGAGATGCCTTGGGTGCTCCCAAAAAACATTATGATAACATCTAGTACTGATGCACATTGGTAGAGTCTAGTATGTCTTCTGTTGCCCTGATATGCATTGCTGCATATAGCACCTCTGCTATGTATTTATTTATCGTGTCAGAAGCGAACCGAGGGTACAGTTGTAATGTATTTAAAAACACAAACAAAGTTTAAAAACTTGGTATTGTACTAAATGTCCTTTGACCAGTAGCTGGCCTTTTGGAGTGCCTCTAGTGTTGCTATAAGAAGGTCCTCCATTGTCCATGTGGCAGGGCTCAAACTGCATTGCAATAAGTTGTCTGTGGTTTGCTCTTCTCCACAGTTGCATGTTGTGGACTCCACTTTGTGGCCCCATTTCTTAAAGTTGGCTTTGCATCTTGTAGTGCCGGAGTGCAGTTTGTTCAGTGCCTTCCAAGTTGCCCAGTCTTCTGTGTGCCCAGGAGAGAGTTGCTCATTTGGTATCAGCCATGGCTTGAGGTTCCGGGTTAGCCAGCCACTTTTGGACTCTTGCTTGCTGAGGTGCTCCTGTGAGTATCTCTGCAGATCTTGGAAAACTATTTCTTGATTTAAGGCATTGATGTGCTGACTGATATCCGAACAGGTGATGTCACTGCCTTAGTCCTTTTGTTGTTGGCTGCTACTTCCCAGCAGGTGGTGCAATACTGGCTGAACAGTGTAATTTTGACAGTGGTGTGGGGCATAGACATCCTGTGATAATGTGGCATGTCTCATGTCTATGTAGCAAAGCATGTGAAAATTACCCAATTTTAGATTGAAACACAGAATTGTGTCCATTAGCATTAAGTGATATTAATCTTTCCCACAGAGGGAAGGCTGATAGTTAAGTAGGTGGCAATGATAAATGAAAAAATAAAAAAGAGTGGGATTTAAGACTAACATTTCTAGGGGATCGAAAAGGCCAAGAAGACTGTTGTTATGAAGGGCTGTGGCACATGTGGCTGCATTTTTTAAAGCTGGTTGTGGAGCAACCCATAAAACCCATCAGTTCCCAATCCCTCAAAATTCCCATCACCTACCTTGGTGGAATAGGTCCCTTCCACTTCTGTACTGGCATTTTAGCAGTGAAGTGATGTCAGGGGGGTGGGAGTCTTCTCCTCTCCCCTTTCCTCCTCACTATTCCCAAGTTTTTCTTTCCTTTTATTTTATATTTATTTTTTGTTTTATGCAATTACAATAATAATAATAATAATAATAATAATAATAATAATAATAATAATAATAATACAGTAGACTCTCAGTTAACTGGCACCCATGGAGATTGGTAGCTGCTGGATCAAAATAGTTTCTGGTTGCTTGAAACTTATTATTAAAAATAGCCCTAATAATATACTCCATACAATCAATTTTGTATTGATCTGATATGAATATTGAAACACACTAATTAAAAGCAAAGAAAGACAAACTTAACGTAACACAGTTAACAATTTTGTGAATACAGTATTATTTCTGGGGTTTTTTTAAGTTGCTTGGGAGTTACGGTTGCTTGAGCTCTAATTAACTGAAAGTCTACTGTAATAATAATAATAATAATAATAATAATAATAATAATAAGTAACACAGTTTTACTGTATTATAAAAAGAACTTTGTGAATACAGTATTATTTCTGGAGGTTTTTTTAAGTTGCTTGAAGGTTATAGTTGCTTGAGCTCTAATTAACTAAGAGTCTACTGTAGTAGTAGTAGTAGCAGTAGTAGTAATAATAATAATAATAATAATTGGTAGTAGTAGTAATGCAGTAATGAGGGGGTGTGAAAATAAGATCTCAGAATGGTGAACCAACTCAATAGCGTTGCTAAAATGAGGTGCAATATTGAAAGTGCACAATGCGGAATACCATATATCTACTACCTACACTAATGTGATTGTGGTGAAATACCAGGTTGGCGTGATAAAGTCCATAGTGCCCACAGGATTGCTTCTTAGAAGTGCCCCCTCCATGATTTTTCAGTATTTTGTAGTTCTTTAAAGGCTGAGATGCTACAAATCAGGTGAAACCTTCTCAATGTGTATGTCAAACAGCATTTCCTCGAGGTTATAAGCAGACATGATTGTTCTCTTGCTGTCTCTCAGGGCCCTTCCAGGCAGACCCTTTATCCCAGGATCTGATCACAGGTTTTCTACTTTAAATTGGATTATATGAATCTGCACTGCCAGATAATCTGGGATAAACAGAAAACTCAGGATCAGATCCTGGGATAAAGGGTCTGCCTGGAAGGGCCCTCACACACAAACTTTCAAGACAACTATTTTTGACTCCATCATCCTTGTTCTCAATCTATATCCAAGCAATTTCAATAAAATGTAAAGTTCTTGGGAGTATGGGGAGCTTATGCTGAGCAAACAATTGGAACCACTAAATGAAAAAGTAAGAACCAATAATAGATAGCAATGAAATTGCAAGCTTTACAAAGATTTAGCTGTTCCTGCTACAATCTCACTGTCCATTTGCAATAAAACCAAAAAGCAACAAAATAAAGACCTAAGGATTTGTTTGCATTCTCCTGAACAATGGAAGATGAAATTAGCTTTTTCCATTGGTGTTTTTAAGAGGGAAGGACTGCATAAGTGAAATTCTCCTGAAGATCCAAGTATAAGTGTTATGCAACAGAAGCAGAAGAGCAATGAAAGTGGCATTCAGGAAAATCAAGATCTGTGTGAATATGGCCATGCTGTCTCTGAAAAGGATCACCAAGGTTGTGAAGCATACAGCACCATACTTCGAAAAGTCTTAATTATATACCATACATTATCAGTTTTGCACAGAGTTTGCTAACTCCACGTCCAAAATTAGAGTTCTGTTTCTTAACCTTTAAAGCATGAATGATTTTGCATTTGGATTTCTAGAAAGCTGTATCATCAAATACAGCTGAATACAAGCTGAATACATGTTGAATGACATACTGGTATTTTTAGCTAGGGCTTTGTTTTGCATGTCACAGATGGGTGGAAACATGAAAAACGACAGTGATGTGACTGCTGACCCTGCAGGTGTTTTGGGTGCCCAACTCCCAGAATCCCTAGCCAGCTACAGTCAAAAATACCATGAAGGCAATGTCTCACCACAGTTTAAAAACCAATTTTGGCTGAACTACACATTTCCAACAGCTATAGACAACCAATCAATGGTAGGACATGATGGAAAGTGACATCCAACATTTGGAGGAACACAAGTCACCTGTCCTTCGTAATTCACCAATTGAGAAGAACTTTAAATAGGACACTACTACTACATTAATACTTGTATCTACAGCAGAGTCTCACTTATCCAACATAAACAGACCAGAAGAATGTTGGATAAGTGAAAATATTGGATAATAAGGAGGGATTAAGAAAAAACCTATTAAACGTCAAATTACGTTATGATTTTACAAATTAAGCACAAAACATCATGTTTTACAAAAAATCAACAGAAAAAACAGTTCAATACACGGTAATATTGTGTAGTAATTACTGTATTTACAAATTTAGCACCAAAACATTGCAATATACTGAAACAGCTGTAGATCCAGGTGGGAGGCAGACTGTGTTGGATAATACAGAATGTTGGATGAGCGAAAGTTGGATAAGTGAGACTCTACTGTATTTACATCTTCAATTCTCACTGCTATACAAGGAGCGGGCAAAGTAAAGCCGGTGAGCTACATGCATCTCTAGGGCCAATGTTGAGAAAGGAAATTAAGCTATTGCCGCTAATGTCCTGTTGTTTAAAAGAGGTCTTTCTGTGGCTTCAAATGCCCCCAAAACATGATAAGAATCCCTCCCATGTCCCGTCTAAGATGTTTTGGGATATTCAAAGGCATTTTTGGAAGTTGAAAATGCACTGGGGGTGGTAAAGTCCTCCAAGATCTTCTGGAGAGGAAGGGGGGATAATGGACCTTTCCTGCCTTCCATAGTTGCCCACATCTGCTCTATACATACATTTGAGGAGAGTTCAATACTTCATTCTGCGCCTGGAGTTTGGAAAAGTTTCAGATCAAAGGCAGCCATATTTTCACATGGCCACTTCTCCATACAGACCAACATGATTCCTTAATGTAAATAGTCCAAGTGTTGGAAATAGCAACCTTCCAAGCCTTTCATTGTTTATTTCTTAATGTATGTATTTGCTAACCTATATTCTATGTGTACAGTTTGACTGTACCTCTTGGTGTAGGAGGAGTTATAGATGTTTTATTCAATGTTATAAGTCTGCTTTAGACCTCAGTGGAGGTGGATGCCTGTTGCTGTTTTGGACTTTAATGGATAAAGTATGACTTATGGACTTCAGTGAGTACAGCTATACTTCAAAGAAATAACCACCCCCTGCTAACCAAATATATTTTTGTAGTGGCATGTTTTTCTCCTTGACAGTTTAAATACATGGTTTTTCAGTTTAACAGTTGAGTTACCTGTGTGCCATGACATGAATGCTTATTAATATCACTTATTCAGAGAGTTGACTTCTAACAAGGCCATACTTTTCTTGACTAGTGGTTTTCAAAAGGTGGTCACCACATGTTCATGGTGGTTTACATTTGTCAAACGGATGTGATAGCATTTTTTTACCTTTTCAATAAGGTTATGGTGCACTTATTTCCAATAGGTTATGGAATTTCCAATACCAAGCTATAAAACAGCTGGAAGATAAGCATGAAGATTTTAAAGGATATCTTGCCCACTCTTACTCTCTTTGCACACATGTGGATGAACTGATAACAACGAACCACACAAAAGAATTATCATTAGCAGAAATACAGTCATGGGGATGGCACTGAATGCTGTTTTATTGTAAAAAAAAAACCTCTTTAAAAAGGTAAATCAAAGAAAGAGGAATTTGTATTACTATAACAACATTCAACAATGGATTCGATATCCATATTTTTAATGTTTGAGAACAAGTACAATAATTTTGCATTAAATTAATGCTAAGTCATAGTTATTGCAACTCTCATAGAAAAATAAACTATCCCACAATATAGTAAAGTGACAAATTAATAAATAAACTTAAAAATTTAAAGTTAGTCATGTACACTACAAAACACATTTTAAATAAATGGAGGTTACGGCAGTGATTTTAAAGTGTTTAAGAAACCAAAATTAAATTACATTTCTAGTTTTTAAAACTCAATCTTTAAAAACAGTTCTCACACACATTGTTTACAAAAGAGATTGAAGACACAAAACATGACAAAGGCAAACTACAAAATACACATTTCAAATTAGATCTTTTTCTTGTTGAACATCCAAATTGGGAAAAGGCAAAGGGAAAAAAAATCTGTTCCATTTCTATGAAGAAGTTATAGCTAACATAGTGTTGCTATTGGCATTTAACTTAAAATTATTTTGACACAAATTTGGTACCTTCAATCAGCAGTGTGTAAAGCCAGTCCAGGGAGAGAAAGAAAGAAATTTAATAGAAACACATAAATAATTTGGTTGTTTCAGCAAGTCAGGTTGTGAAATATCCAAAGAACAATATACATTCGAATCCTAAAAGTGCTACGATTGTGCAGTTTGTGCACTGTAGCCTCAGTGGAGCGCATTTCCAATACATACAAAAATAAATAATTCTTTATCATAATTCAAAGATCCACAGAATTGCAATGCACCATTCCAGAGATTTAAGTTTTCCCATTCACCTCAGTACTACAGACATCTCCATGTCTGCAACAGAGGTGTACACAGAACACACAACAGCACAGCAGAATGAGCATTTAAGGCCTGTGCACTCATGTATTAGGACAGAATCTCAAAACTAGAGTGCATTCTTGTATACGTCCACTCATGTTAATGCCCTACTGAGTTCAATGGGACAAAATTTACATTTTGGTTGACAGAGAATACTTCATTTGATGGCAGCTCTGTGTTAATGTCACCTTTGTGATCTCCTCTTCGATCACCATCTTCTCATGTACTTGACACCACAGGTTTTCCCACTCTGTGGGACATCTGCTATAGTAGATGTCAAATGCAAGGCCTCCAGCCCACCATGCCATTTTATGTGGCCCTCCAGATGCCGGACTACAGTTCCTGTATTCCTCATTATTAGACAGTATGACTGGAGCTGATGGGAACTGTGATACAGTAATATCTGGAAGGCTACAGTTTGTTCTGTTTAGTCAGAAGAGTGGGGTTTCAACTAAGATACAAGGCTTGTGGATATGTCTGACTTTTAAATGTCCTTTAACTTTTTCCCAACCTCAGGGCCATAAGTGCTGTTGGGCTGCAATTCCCATTATAACCAGTCTGCATGGCAGATATTCAAAAGGGATGGGAATTGTCATTCAGTAAAACCAGGGGGACTCGTAGTTGCCCACATCTGCTCTATAACCACATACATTTGAGAAGAGTTCAATTCTTTATTCTGTGTCTGGAATTTGGAAAAGTTTCAGTTTAAAGACAACCATATTTTCCACATATTTTCATGGGTAAAATGAAAGAGCACTGACGACTATGTAAAAATTACAGTTTGCCCTCTATATCCACAGATTCTTCATCCATGGATTCAACAGCCCATTGAAGGCAACATTAGGCCTGATGTGGCCCTTGATGGAAACGAGTATGATACCACAGGCTATAAGATAGTGGAAATCCCCTTGAAATCCAAGAAGGAGCTCCAACACAAAATTGAACCAATCATGGATGTTCCTCCTACTGCTCTTTGTTGAGGAAGAGCAGCAAATACCACTCCTGCTTACTTTCTGCCTTATCAACATGGGCCTTGAAGGCCACTGGTACGTTTTCTTTTAACCACAGAACTGGCTTTTTAATACATTCTCTGGACGAAGTAGAATTGATTCCTAAATAACTATAAACTATTGCAGATCTTTAATTAAAAATAGTCATAGTTGAACTTCTATTCCAGTCTTCTACAAAAAAAAAGAACTATATCAAATATTTGGAAAACTACAAAACAATAAATAGAAAAAGAGGTTAGAATGTGCTTTGCATGCCACCATGCTTGCCATTCTGTCTAGTGTTCTCTGACATACACCACAGCAAATGTGATCATATGATTTGTGTTTCTGCTCAGAGCAACAGATTTTCAGTATTCGAGTTTCTGAACCAAGGAGTACACAGTTGCCTGGAGAAACAGCCTCCCTTGCTCCAGTTTCTGAACATTTGCAATCCAGGTTTCTGTAGAGGTCAATTCCACAGCTAGCAATAAGAATTACTTTAGGTAAAACATGTATTGGATTGTGGCCTTAGTGTTGTTTGTGCAGGCTGATTCCAAGCCTACTTATTCACAGCCTCTTCCAAAATTAGTGCAATATAGAATATCTAGGTTTGCAACATCAATGCCGTAGTTGGGTGGCAGGTAATAAAGACTTATGTTATAATTTGTTGGCAGACTTTGATCCTCAAAGCTGTCTTGCTTTGCATATTCTTTTGCGCTGCCAGCATTCAGAACAGGTCTAAGCAGTGATTTGTCACCCATTTGTACCAGCTACATTTTTAAAACACAATTTGGGAAACCCTGCCATAGACCAAATCTGTGTTAGCTACCTCTAAAGTGAGATCAGTGCTTTTTTGTCAAACCAGTTTAGATTAACCTTCTATGCCACAACTAAATAAGTTATTTTAAAGTGCTACAATGCAGAGTGGTGTCATGAACTGGAATAAAGCCTGCTTGTGCCAGAATGTAATCAGATTTAAGCCAATTTTATCCTATTGATCTCAAAAGGGACTGAACAGGCTACCAAGCTAAATATCTCAGTATTGGTCTAATTGGTCTAATTATGCTAATCAGTAGTTAATGCACATTTGTTTTTCAAGGCAGAGCAGCTCAACTTGAAACCCAGCCAAGTTGCGTAACCAGGTTTCCAGGTCAGTTTTTCATTACAGTATTCAAAACTATAAACCTTCCAAGTATCAGGCAGGCAAGAACTTTCAAATGAAGTTCTGGAGAAACAAAAGCTCTGGAGAAAGCAGTCTTGCTTTCAGGAATTGCAACAGAAAGTTTCATTTACTCGTAGTTTGCTGAGGTGGATGCTTATTTCTTCAGGGTTGTCGCGCCTGTAGGTTACTGTTTTTGTACAGACTGTAGGCAGGAACATTTTCTCCTTGAAAGAAAAGATAGGACAGGTGAGAAAGGCTCATGCAGCTAGTATTTGATGTACAAGAAAAACATTGATCCTGGTTCCATTTGGTTCTTCAGTTACCTTTTTTGCTGCCGCTACTCTGTAATCAGCAGAAGACTTGATTTTATTATTGCTCCACTGTAGAATGATCTGACGAATTATAAGCACATTCAGCAAGCCAATCAGAAAGGTCACAATGAAGATTATGAAAAAGATTCTGAAGTGGCTTGGATCATCGGAAATGCAGCCTGCAAAGGAGAAATAATAGACAAAATCTACTCTGTCCCCAAAAGGTTCAAAGCGGGAAATAACAACACACAAATAACATTCTAATGTGATATAGAAACTCAGAAATAAGTATTGTAATAATAATGGAATTCCTCTTTAAATTATACAAAATGTTATATTTTTGTTAAAAATAAGATCTAAACAGGAATTGGCAAAGTGTGGTCCCCAGGTTGTCTATGGTCCTCCAGACTTCCTGATTTGCCCTTTGACTGCTCTCCAAGAGACACCCAATGAATTGGATCTCCTGAAGGAGCTGTAGTGCCATACCATACTGCTTAATTTTTTAAAACAATGTCCATTTTGAAGAATCGGAACCACTTCAAGCCATTTCAAGGGTTTTTAAGGGGATGGGTGGGTTAGTGGTATAGCCATGTCTCTATAGAAAACCAAATATAGAACACATGTAGCATAGGCCGCAAAAAAACATTTACCCCAATATATTTGTCCCCATTGTTTAACTTTCTTAACCTATTTTTAGCTTGTCAACTTGTTGGTACTATTCAGAATGCTTCCCCTGACTCCAAGGTTACCTTTCTCCATCTTTTTTATATGTTGTGGTTCAATAAATAATTTTTATTTTCTAAGACTGTCTCTGAGCTCACATGGAGCCTACAGTTTCTTAGAAAAGAAAATACTGTGTCCAGTGTCCCCTTTTTAGTTTATCAGGAAGAACAGGAAGAGGGATATCAATATATGTGTTTCATTTATCAGATCTGATACTAGGAATTGCACATCATTTGAATATTGCACATAGAAGCAGTGTATCAGGTCTATCAATAATGAATGTGAATTCAATTTTTTTACATACCTAAAGATTGCTCTGTATGATGCACCCTGTAAGCACATGAGGTTTTGCACTGGTCAAGTGTAATTTGAGATGAGTTGGAATGACATGGCACACAAGTCCTGTAAAGCAAAATTAAACTGAATGCAATATTATATAATACAATAATATATACATGACAGCTTTCTGGAGCATAAAATTTTCTACACCATAACACTCCACAAAGCTGCTTCTGGTGTGAGAGAACTGGCCATCTTGCCCAGGGGACACCTGATGTTTTACCATCCTATGGGAGGCTTCTCTCATGTCTCTCCATGGGAAGCTGGAGCTAACAGACAGGAGCTCACCCTGCTCCCTGAATTTGAACTGCTGACCTTTTGGTCAGCAGTCCTGCTGGCAGAAGGGTCTAACCCATTGCCCCACTGGGGATGACACTGAACTAAACTTACTACGACTACTACTACTACTACTACTACTACTTGCAGTTAAGAATGATGGGAGTAGATCCTTCCTCTATTGACATAACTCAGGCATCTTAAAAGATTCTGTCAACAGTAAGATGTTTATGAAAATCGATAGAAAAAGTTTTAACACATCTTTAACCTATCAAAAGAGCTAAACTATACAACATGGTTTGGCAAAAGAAAGCATAATGACCCTTCTACCTAGGCCAAGAAGGCTTGAGCCCAGTTGGGGGACAGACACATCCTTTCCAATTATTCCATATTCTAATGCATTCTTTGCATTTAGTGAAGTGTATGAGTGGTCACCTGAGAGTGGCTTTGAAAAAACGACAAGAGGAAGATATGAAGAGGAAAAGGACACAGAGAGCATATTCGAAACCAGCATTTCTGAATCATTTCCCAACCAGCATAACCAATAGTCAAAGATCAGGATAGCTGTAGGACAGTTGTCGGCCAAAAGGTCTGGGGAAGAATGTCACAAATATTTTTAGAAGGCCCTGGTTAACTGCTGACACAACACTTAGCAATTCAGACACCATCAACTGTTTGGAAAATTACAACTGTCTTTGTTAAGAAAGCATCTGAGGACTAAGAGAAAGAGCAAAAACTTTAAGGCCAGGCTGTGGCGCAGCTAGTTAGTAACCAGCTGCATTAAATCAATACTGACTGAGAGGTCATGAGTTCAAAGCCAGCCTGGGTCAGAGTGAGCTCCTGACCATTAATAGTCTAGCTTGCTGTTGACCTATGCAGCCCAAAAGACAGTTGCATCTGTCAAGTAGGAAATTTATGTGTTGCATCCCAGTTCAAAAAAAAAGACCATAAGATTAAATCCACCACTCTGGACTGTAGGAAAAGCAATCCTTGTTTATTGATGAAAAATTGGTTACAAAAGAAAGGTAAATGCAGAGTAAAAAAGCCACAGAAAAACACAGTAGTCAATAGGATCTCTGAACTTGAGCAAAACTTCAAAAGCCACAAAACAATAACCAGGAGTCTGTTAGCCTTTTACTAACCATGAACTTGGAAACTACAAGCCTCTGGGATTACTGGCCATGGAACACAGGAATTCTGCCAAGACCAGCCACAGTCCCGAACGTTGCTTGACCTAAAGAAGCACCCGGCAGGGATGCTCTTAAACCAAAGAAGCTATTCTTAGAAACGCCCCTTGACTTTTCTGTTTGGGCCTCTTTCTGCTGAAGACGCTGTGACCTTCGTACAGACTGGGAAACAAATCTATCTCTCACTATCTGTTCTCTTCGGACCTCATTATCAAGCCCAGGTGGGGAGATATCACGGCTAACTTCCAAAACATTCTCTTCTAACTGTTGGGTTTCGTTTTCATTCCCACTGACCTCTGCATCAACAACAGATTCCACACTGTCAGAGTCAGGGAGAGCTTGCTCAGTTTGAAAAACTATCAGAGAATCCTGTTCACACAGATCAGGATCAGACTGAACCCCAACAGGTACCACTTTATGCAGGGAGGCTAATTTAACTAAATTACGACACCATAAAACTTTCCAGCAGTGTGCATAAGAATGAGGAAGTACTCCATGAAGGACCCAGTGTCACAAGTGGAAGCGGCAGCTCCCCCTGTGGCCACAATCAAGCATACCCTCATGAAGCTGGAAAGCTGGAATGTTAAATTGCCTCTGTGTCTGTCTGTATATGTTGTATGTCTAAATGGCATTGAATGTTTGCCATGTATATGTGCATTGTAATTTGCCCTGAGTCCTCTGTAGGGCAAGAAGGGTGGAATATAAATACTGTAAGTAAGTAAGCAAGTAAGTAAGTGAGTAAGTAAATTATGGAATGTGGGATGTGTGCTGGTGATATTTGTTCATATGCATAGGATATGTACCCTGCTATATACATTTCAAAATAGTGGATTTCAGGCCCTGAAAGCCATAAATGATTTTGGACTCCAGTTCTTGAAGGGGGTTTCTTTCTATGTATGCCTGAGGTCATCTGTCTCCCCCAAGAAAGAAAAAGGTAAAAGGCCTTCTCTGTTGTAGTGTGTGCTTTTGTAGAATGCTTTCCCCTTGCATGACTACACCAAGTTAAGCGTGGCTTTTTTTTTTTAGTGTTTTGGGAACTTAGTTGATGCGTGCCAAGTTGGACATGTTTATTTTATTTTAACCCTTTAAGTTCTTTTAATTTGTTTAATTTATTTTGTTGAAATTATTTTTTGTTTGAAATGTAACAAGAAACATACCGCTTGTCATTGCAATTTGTTCTGCAAGCAGGGCAGAATTCACATAAACGACCAAAACTACTGGGATCGGTGCATTTGCATCTTCCACACACACAAGTTCCTCTTCCACTGCAGATCTGACCATCTGAATTCATGCAGTTTTTTCTCAATGATACTGAACATTGGCAACGATCACCTTCCCAGGGACCAATGCATTTGCATGTTCCAGCTTCACATTCACCATTGCCTATAAGAACAGAAAATAAAGGGTTATAATCATTTCTGAGGTCTTTAAGTCCTTTTGTACTCCTTATATTAAAGGCAGCTTCTGAAATATTGCTGCAACTTTAGACACAACCTATGCTGGGGCTTAAAATTTTCTTTAAGTTATCTCCTCTTTCTCAGTGAAGGATGGAAATCTCTGTTAAGGAGAACATGCATAAAACCTGAAAAGAATATTTGATGAGATTTCACTGAGATGTCAACTTAAGATGCATGTCTCATATCACATATATTGGAGCCTCCAGTGATGCAGTGGGCTAAACCTTTGTGCCAGCAGAACTGCTGGCCAAAAGGTTGGTGGTTTGAATTCGGGGAGTGGGGTGAGTCCTATCTGTCAGCTCCAGCTTCCCATGCAAGGACATGAGAGAAGCCTCCCACAGGATGGTAAAACGTCCGGGTGTCCCCTGGGCAATGTTCTTGCAGCCAGCCAATTCTCTCACACCAGAAGCGACTTGCAATTTCTCAAATTGCTCCTAACATGAAAAAAAAATCAGTTGATATCTCAGTGAAGGATAGGTTGCATATAATATGTGGGTCACAATGGAAACCACATCAGGGGGAAAAACTTCAGATTTTCCTGGGTTAAAACATTATTTCTAGTCTCTCATTGTTCTACACAACTGTTGTGCAATCTTGCACCACATCCCATGCCTTCGTCCCATGGTTGCACCTTTGCACTTACCCCATTCCCTTGCCCATTGCTTATAGCCTGGCCATATTTACAGTAGCTTACTGCCTGATGAGTGCAGTTTTAAATGAGTTTTAATTGTTGTTTTATATGCCTATTTGTTTTATTTAATTGCATTTTATATTGTGTTTATTTTATGCTCTGTTTTTAGGCACTTTTGTGCCGTGTGTAAGCTGCCCTGAGTCCCTTCGAGGAGATGGTGGCAGGATACAAGAATAAAGTTGTTGCTGTTATATTGTTGTTGTTAGAATATACTTCTAGTAAGGAAGAAGCATAAACACAGTGAAATCATGGAGAAGGGGAATAGGTAACACCTGATTGAAAATATAATATGTGAGCAAAATTTTCCTTTTCGCTAAATGACAGGTAAAACAGGAATGTGATGCGTTGGTCAAAAAATAAAAAGCCAATACACTTCTAGGGTGCATCAAAAGAAATGTTATGTTTTTAGATCAAAGGTAGTAGTGGTAACACCCTATTTTGTTTTGGTCAGACATCATTTGGCATACTGTGTCCAATTCTAGGCATCACAATCCATTGAAAAGTTGGATTGTGATCAGAAAAAGTTGGCAAAATGATCTGAGGTCTGGAACCCAACTTAAGTATTTGGGTATATTTAGCTTGGGGAACAGAAGACTGAGAAGTGACACAATTTCTTAGCTAGAGTACAGCCACCAAATCAATGGAATTTTGTCTAGGTGTCAATTTACATTCTGCAATTCAACGCAATGAGCCTATTATGCCTTGGACAAGCAGAAGGACTTAAGTCAACAGCTATAGCTGTACAGTAACACATAAAAAACCTTTCAGGAAGCAAAGGTATGAAACAGCTCAAGTGATCTTAGCAGTGCATAATGGTCCATTGGTAGTATGCAAAATATCAGCATCCTTGGAACTCTCAGCAGAAAAAAAAACCATGATGAATTTTTGTCATCTTCAACTGTGAATGGACTTCCATTTAATACACTATTTTTGGATTATAGACCTTCTGAAAGCTCTGCAAGAGGGCTAGTGGTGGAGTTTTGACATACAGGGCAGAGAGAGATAGATAGGGAGAGTGTGTCCTTATTGGTTCTACTGGATCTCTCAGCAGCTTCCAATACCATTGACCATGATATCCTTCTGGGTCATCTCACTGGGATGGGACTGGGAGGCAGTGTTTTACAGTGGCTCTTGGTCCTTCCTGAAGGGCAGTACCCAGAGGTTGGTGCTGAGGGACTCCTGGCCAAATAGGAGTACTTATCTAGAGTTGCCCTTCCAGGACCTCTGCATTTAGGTGAACTATATACATAATTAGAGATGGAATCTATCTGGGAAGATTCCAGCACTTACCGGCACACAAGTTTCCAAGGTAATATGGGCAGGAAAAATCATCCTTTTCACAATATTCACCATATATTGTGCCAAGTTTGGTTTTGTAGCAAATACACTTCCCAGCTACACACTCTCCTTGGCCACTGCAGATTAGATGGTCCCCTTTCATCTTGCATTGCTCTGAAGAGAATTCATCACTGGAATCACAGATACCGCCCTTGCAGTAGGAAGTTTGGGAATCCTGAGACATTTCATCCACACATATTCTTTTGCCCTCACACTGACAGGAACATCTTTTATGTATGTTAACTCTGGTAGATTCATTGAAACCAAGGGGTTTTATCAATATGTATTTTCTTCCTTCAGTGGTTCCGCATTTCCTCATTGTAATGGTGACATTAAAGGATATCTGTAAAAGTCACATAGACATACATATATATTAAAACATGAACTTATAATGTAGAAAATCACGCTATGTTTTACTGAGATTTCATCGGAAATTTTTATTTACTTATTTATTGTATTTCATTTATTTATATATGACTCTCTACTTAAAGATCTCAGGGTAGTGTACAATAAAACAATACAATTAAAATATTAAAAATAATGTGCAAAATCTAAAAACATATACAAAATCAACAAACTAAAAAGACAGATTAAAATATTTTATAACAATTTAAAATTATAGGCGTGCATGGGTTAAACCAGGCATGGGCAAACTCTGGCCTTCCAGATATTTTGGACTTCAACTCCCAGAAATCCTAGCCAGCTTACTGGCTGTTAGGAATTGTGGGAGTTGAGTCCAAAACACCTGGAGGGCCAAAGTTTGCCCATGCCTGGGTTAAACCATTATTTGAAGGCAATAAATCCCATCCAAATCTGATTTCTCTTAAAAGCAATATCCAAGTTGTATTTTTCATTTATTTCTATATAGCAAAAATATGAACATTGTTTACTTATGGTTGTAAGAATAATGATAATTTTAAATATATTAAAAAGCCTGGATCAACATTAACAGATTTTTAATCTTTCTTTCTTTCTTTCTTTCTTTCTTTCTTTCTTTCTTTCTTTTTTTGCAATAAAAGAGGCATGTTATGCACAGTTTAGGTTGCCAGATAATGGGAATGTAGATGCAATATTATGTTTAATGAATGCCTTTTAAAAAGCATTTCCCTCTTCAGCAATTACTGTTTAGGTTTGAAAGCTGCTTGCTGCTGTGGGGTCCATATACACTATGGAATTATAGCCCTATTATTCCACTTTAAGGGGCAGCAGTCCTCCAATGGAATCCTGGGTTTTGTAGTGTCTTGTCGCTCTCTGGATGAGAAGTCTAAATGTTCATGATGAAATCATGGCCATTAAAGTGAATCATAATGCTATAATTGTTAGTGAGAACGGACCCAGAGAATTAAGCTGCAAGTACGTAAATAGCTATTTTTGCTTATGATGATCCCAGCTTTATTTTGGAACTGCTTTCTCATGCTTATTTCTCAACTTCAGACACACAACTGGGATTAGTGAGCACATGAGTTCACTAATTAGCAAGTCTTTTCTTGCCTACTTTTGAAGAGAAGTATCACATGCACAAAGAACCAAAGGATTGGTGGAGCCTGTAGGTAGAAATTCAACATACAACCTCCATAAATTCCAATACTATTAGGTGTGTGAAATACATTGTTTTATAATAACAATGGTGACTTTGAAGGTCGCCAGTCACACAATTCAAGTGCTGGTTATGACCTATAAAGTCCTACATGGTTAAGATCTAAGATATTTGGCAGATTGTATGTTCCTGCTTGGACTCTAAGATCCTCAGCAGAGGCCCTTTTCTCAATTCCACCACCACCACAAGCAAAATTGGTGGTGATACCAGAGAGTGGCTTCTCAGTGGCTGCTCTTAGGCTCTGAGACTAGGGAGTCTCAGGGCCCATCCAGACAGGCCTTAAAACTGAGACTTGTCTCTGTTTTACGAGAGGCATCCAAACGATAAAACTGAATTAGTTAATTCCAGTAAAACCAAATTAATTCAGAACAAAGCAGGGTTTCTCCAGATATTTAATTAATTTGGAACAAAGCAAGGTCCCTTTCATCTGGGCTTATCTTCTCTCAACATGGCTATTGCCTTGCTGGTGAGACCAGGGAGAAGGGATAGGGACTAGCTCTCAGCTGTGTTCTTGTCATTGGCTCCTCTATGTTTCCTACCTCCACAAGTGTTGAAAATAAACAGCTGCAGTTTGAGTATAGAAGTTTTAAAACAATAATAATAATAATAATTTATATTCTGCTTTTTCTCTCTAAAAATGTTTCAAAGCAGATCGGGAGAGGACAGGTGCCTTCATCACAGTTATATATTTTTTCAATACTTTGACCTACTCTGAGATCCCTTATGATTTAAAGTTACAAGAATCTCAATCTGAAAATGACACCCTCACCTCAATTTAAGATGCAGATAATTACAGTAACTAATATACTTCAGCATTACTTGATGTTGACAAACTGGAATGTGTGATGTTGACAAGCTGGAATGTGTCCAGAGGACGGCGACTAAAATGATCAAGGGTCTATAGAACAAACCTATGAGGAGCGGCTTAAAGAGCTGGGCTTGTTTAGCCTTCAGAGGAGAAGGCTGAGAGGAGACACGATAGCCACATATAAATATGTGAGGAGAAGTCATAGGGAGGATGGAGCAGGCTTGCCCTGGAGACTAGGATGCGGGACAATGGCTTCAAACGACAGGAAAGGAGATTTCACCTGAACATTAGGAAGAACTTCCTGAGAGTGAGAGCTGTTCAGCAGTGGAACTCTCTGCTTCAGAATGTGGTAGAGGCTCCTTCTTTGGAGGCTTTTAAGCAGAGGCTGGATGGCCATCTGTCGGGGGTGCTTTGAATGCAATTTTCCTGCTTTTTGGCAGGGGGTTGGACTGGATGACCCACAAGGTCTCTTCCAACTCTATGATTCTATGATCAGAGGAAGAAAATCCCTCTTTTCCCCAGGTGGTGTTTGCAGCCTGAGACAATTTCCTTAGGCAGCAGCTTTTGGTTATCCAGAATCATCTGCCCAAGGCAGCTGCTTTACAGCCTAATGAAAAGCCTAGCCCAGCCTTCTGCAAAGCGCTACATGTTTTTGCACACCACTCATTTATAAGGCTATAGTTGATGAGGACTGAGATAAGAAAGTTTTTAGCAGGAAGAGCATCGTAAAGTATGGGACATGAGGAAATGCTTAGAAAGCAGCTGCTAGCTTGGCTTGAGCTTATTGATAACAATGAACAAAATGTTTATTCTTGGATTCAATTTAAAATAAAGTTGGGAAGGAATAAAATGAAGAAACGACGTGGAGGGCCTAGGACTGTGACCCACAGAAATCTACTTTCGAATCTGCACAAAGAACCTCTCTTCCACTACAAAGCTATTAGAGAAACAACAACATTTTTCATCTCCTTTGTGAATAAAAGGAATTTTTCATACTTCAGTTGTGGATTTCACATTTCTGCATCCCTCTAAGCCTGTTTTTCTACTTCCATCAGGACAGATTGCAGTAACTTTGACATTTATGTCTTGGTCTGTGTTATCCACCTGAATTTTCACTTCAGACAGCAGATTCTGAAACAAAAATAACACAAAAGGATTCCATTCCATTGCATAGCAATGCGTATGACACATTCGCATACAGTAAGCATTAGCATGCCTGACTCAGTGGATTTAACTGCAACAAAAGAGCTTGTCTGTCTCTGAATAAAAGAATGGCTTTCTAAATGAAGACTTCATTATGCATCATTCTATTGTTTCCAGTGAATCTCTAATCCTGAAGAAAAGGAGGAGCAAGATAATAACATCTGTGTTTCCAAGTAATGTTACAGTTGTGTGATTCACTGTTAGCAATAATTGAATATTCTACTCTAAGAGAATAGGGCACATCCAGACATTCACCTTTTAATTTGGAAGTAATCTCTGAAGCACCCCAGTGCTTTGTGGCACCCTGAATGGCTGGATCAGGTCAATTTTGGCTGGATCCCCTAACCAGATAGACAGCACTGCCACCACCTTTTCCTTTCATTGATCAGTGCAGAGAAAGGGGATGACTCATCCTGAATTGCTGTCAGTGCCTCCTGCCTACCACAGAGCTCTGTACAAGTGCCTGCACATTGTGGTCATATCTGCTGATGTCAGCACAACAAGCAAGAAAGGTCTACCTCCTCCTATCTGGCCACATAGGTGCCCTTTCTGATATCAACAGAAGCAATAGGCTTACCTTTCTCAAACTGGGGGTCGGAATCCCGGGTCGGGAGAGGGTCTTGAGGGAGGTGTCAGAGGGGTCATCAAAGACCACCAGAAAACACAGTATTTTCTGTTGGTCATGGGGGTTCTGTGTGGGAAGTTTGATCCAATTCTATTGTTGGTGGGGTTTAGAATGCTCTTTGATTGTAGTTGAACTATAAATCCCAGCAACTACCTTCTCTGCTGTGGCCCCTCAGCTCTGGAACTCACTGCCTGGTGAAATTAGGCAAGCCCCTACCTTGGCAGCTTTTAAAAAAGACCTAAAAACTTCGCTTTTCCGATGTGCCTTCGGCAAGTGAATATATTTCCCATATGCAGTCTATTCCAACTACTGCTCCGTCCTCATGAGGCACTCCCCCTGCCACCCTTAATGAAGGCCTAACTCTATTGTTCCGGTCCTTTTGTGTTCCTCCCTCAGAAACCCATTCTTCCTCAGAAACACATTCTACATATCTCATCCAGGGTTTTATCAATTTTATTCCTATTTTATTTGGCTTGCCCACTGTGTTCTATTTCTCTATCATGTTATTTTGAAACTGTTTATTTTATTTTGTTATTTTATGTATTTATTTTGATGGTATTTTTGCTTCTTGTATTTTATTTTGCTGTACTATAATTTTGGGCTTGGCCTCATGTTAGCCGGCCCAAGTCCCCTTTGCGGAGATAGTGGCATGGTATAAATAAAGTTTTTATTATTATTATTATTATTATCATTATTAACTACAACTCTCAAATGTCAGGGTCTATTTCCCCCAAATTCCACTAGTGTTCACATTTGAGGATCTGGAGTATTCATACTAAGTTTGGTCCAGATCTATCATTGTTTGAGTCCACAGTGCTCTCTGGATCTGGGTGAACTGCATCTCCAAAACTCAAGGTCAATGCCCACCAAACCCTTCCAGTATTTTCTGTTGGTCATGGGAGTTCTGTGTGCCAAGTTTGGTTCAATTCCATCATTGGTGGAGTTCAGAAAGCTCTTTGATTGAAGGCAAACTATAAATCCCAGCAACTACAATTCCCAAATGACAAAATCACCCTCCTTAACCCCATTAGTATTCAAATTTGGGCATATTGGGTATTTGTGCCAAATTTGGGCCAGTGAATAAAAATACAGATATTGACATCATGATTCATAACAGTAGCAGAACCGTTATGAAGTAGCAACAAAAATAATTTTATGTTTGGGGGTCACAACATTAGGAACTGTATTAAAGGGTTGTGGCATTAGGAAGGTTGAGGACCACTGCAATAGGCAATGACCTGATGTTCACTGCAAGATCTGTGGCCGGCAAGGAATGGTGACGTCAATACAGAAAACAAAATGATGGTCCAGTGGGGCCAATATGATCCCAATCCATCTGGACATTGGCCCCGAATTCAGCATATACATGATGGTTCTACAGCAGCTCAGGCCTGCACACACACCAAGTAATGTGCCTGAGTCTCTTGAACACTGTTTCCTTAGATTACCTCCTTCCAGGTGTTCTAGGTCCCTCTCCCCTTGAAGCATACCTTCAACTTACTGTGTTGATTCTCTCATACCACAAAATACCCTGAATTCTCAATGGAAAAGTTAGAACACCAGTGAGACCCATCACAAAGGATATTGGAATTTCCCCATTTGTTCATGGTACTGCCTATACATGAACAAATTTTATGTATATACTCTGTGTGTCTCAACAGTGGTATATTCTCTGCAAGCCAGGAAACCCCCCCCCTCATATTTTTGTATTTTCTCCAGGAAAAAAAAACAGAAAGGAAGGAAAAGAATACATTCCTGGATACAGCATAATACTGAAAGAAAAATAATAAAATAAAGTCCCAAGAAATGGAGAATTAAAACAAATACATCACATTGGCAGATAAAAACTGTATAAGATGCAAAAAGCCCAAACCTCTGTGGTTTGCACAAACACTGCACTGAAAAAATGGGCCGTGATACATAACTTTGTCATGATCTATGTCACTGGCATGGTATGCAGCTATGTCAGAGAATTTCAACAATGTATGCCAGTGTGCAAGATATCCCATTGTACAATCAGGGCTCTCACATAAGATATCTTGGAGGAAAGAACTAATGTAAACACAAAATCCATTAACGTTTCATATATACCTTAAACATATAGTCTGAGGGTAGTTTAATACAGTAACTGCAATGCTTTTAAGCATGAAACGAAGTTTGTGGACACTGAATTGTCAGAAAGCATAGCTGTTACTATCTCAGCCATAATAAAGGTAAAGGTTTCCCCTGACTTGACTAGAATTAGAGTCCAACTCTGGGGAATAAGGCTCATCTCCATTTCTAAGCCAAAGATCCGGCATTGTCCATTGACACCTCCAAGGTCATGTGGCCAGCATTACTGCATGGAATGCCATTACCTTCTCGGAGAAGTGGTACCTACTGATCTACTTACACTTGCATGTTTTTGAATTGATAGGTTGGCAGAAGCTGGGCCTAACAGCAGGAGCTCTCCAGATTTGAACAGTCCAACTTTCAGTCAGTAAGTTCAGCAGCTTAGCGGTTTAACCCACTGCACCACCAGGGGGCCCTTATCTCAGCCATACATGTGGACAATTTTGTATTTTTTTAGTATTTTGGATTTTAAAATTCCAGATAAGGGATACACCTCCAAAAAAAGTAATCTGAATACAAACATTATTTCATTAATTTATGGGGTGGGGTTATTTAATAATTATTTATGTAGATATAAGGATTCCCTGATCTGGCTATACAGTGATTGTACATATTTAGAGCCTTTTGATCAGTTGCCTCCCCAAAACCAGTTTGAAAGGGGAAAAAACATACAAGAGCACATAAACGTCAAAAGCATATACCTTGTAAGCATCTACCACCAGATCTCCCAGATTTGCTGCTTGTGATTCTATTTGTCTTGCAACAGTGCCAGGCAGCAGAGGCAAAAGGTCCTATGGAAGAACACTATTATCGTTATAATGGCTTTATCAGTGTCATCTTTGAAGGAGATAAAATTCTGATGTTTAAAAATACCTTATACCAGTGATATTGGCTTCCTTGGACTGCAAAGATTACACTAATATTGTTGTCTATGAGTTTTTCAGCAAGTTGACCGAGGGATGGATGCTCCTATAAATTAAAAAAAAAAGGAAACAAATCGTATGACTTTCAAAGATTAATATGATAAAAAGAATGCTATAAATATGACATTTACCATGAAACCTTAGATAAGAAGAGTTGTAATTCTTTTACCACAAACCTTTGAATGCTTGAAACAAAACAGAATGTAAGGTACTTTTACAGATCATGTTGAATCACAGCTGTTTTACTGTCTTCACATACTGCAATAATCTAGAACTCAAAGAGAATTCTTCCTGATGTCTAGATGAGAGTCCCCTAGATCAGTGGTTCTCAACCTGTGGGTCCCCAGGTGTTTTGGCCCACAACTCCCAGAAATCCCAGCCAGTTTACCAGCTGTTAGAATTTCTGGGAATTGAAGCCCAAAACATCTGGAGACCCACAGATTGAGAACCACAGCCCTAGATACTACTTCTGTTTGGGGAGACATGTTTGAAATAAACTGTTTTTGGATTATTATACCAATTGTTATTTGTGCTCTTAATTTATTTTGTATTTCGTCTTCAGGTTGACTCTGGAATCTAATTTATAAATTAAAAATATACTCAGTGTTGTTTTTTGGTAGAAAAGCCTGACATTGTTCAGCCTATTAGTCCTCTGACAACCTTCTGCCAGGGGCTACTTAGAATCAAATCTGAGGTTTCTGAGCTATTTACTGGACAAATGAAAGCCACTGAAGGCTCCCTACTTTGTACTTTTTTTTGCCATAGGGGAAGTGGCATCCAGAAAGCTGGAACACCCAGTAGCGCAATGGGTTAAACCTTGTGCTGGCAGGACTGCTGACCGAAAGATTGGTGGTTCAAATCCGGGGAGTGGGATGAGCTCCTGTCTGTCAGCTCCAGCTTCCCATGCAGCTTCCCATGAGAGAAGCCTCCCATAGGATGGTAAAACATCTGGGTGCCCCCTGGGCAACGTCCTTACAGATAGCCAATTCTCTCACACCAGAAGCAACATGCAGTTTCTCAAGTTGCTCCTGACATAAAAAAAAATCCAGAAATCCATATCTATGCTGGGATGTGATACTAGAATAAATTATTCATTGGCTAAATGTAGTTAAGGACCACAGTTATCAAAGATCTGTGCTTTATTTGGGAGCTTTCATTGCAAGAAGAATCCACTGTGCAGTTCAAACCAGCATAGATATGGTTTCTGCACAGGAAACCAAGGAAGGGCAGTGCCTGAAGTATAAAGATACAGCAATGAATACTAGTTAAGAGTATCCAGACCATTGTATCTGCCATTTTATGCATGGTTGTGAAAGTTGGACAGTGAAGAAAGTGAATAAAAAAATCAACTCATTTGAAATATGGGAGACATAAACTGCTACAAAGAAAAAAAATTGATCCTACAGCAAATTAAACCTGAACTCTCTTTAAAAATCAAAACGACTAAACAGAGACTGTTCTACTGTGGCCATATCATCAGAAGGCATGGCTCACTATAAAAAACAGTAATACTTGTAAAGGTAGAAGGCAATAGAAAAAGAAAATCACAAATTGATAGACTAGATTAAGGAAGCCACAGAGTCTGCAAGGGTTGTTGTATGTTTTTCCGGGCTATAAGGCCATGTTCTAGAGGCATTTTCTCCTAACGTTTCGCCTGCATCTATGGCAAGCATCCTCAGAGGTAGTCAGGATGCTTGCCATAGATGCAGGCGAAATGTCAGGARAAAATGCCTCTAGAACATGGCCATATATCCCTGAAAAACCTACAACAACCAAGTGATTCCGGCCATGAAAGCCTTCGACAATACAGAGTCTGGAAGATCTGTTCAGGGCTGTCAATGATAGGGTGACTTGGATGGCTCTCATTCATGGGGTCAACGTAAGTCGAAGTCAATTTGATGACAATTAACAAGGACAAAAACCTCAAGAGAGGCAGGAAAGAACAAAGAAGCACCTGACATATGGCCTGTGCTATTTTCTATTTACTTGAAATCGTGAGTGAATAAAAACATTGTTTCCTAAAACATGCTGGCTGCAACAAATACACAACTCTTTGCACTCAATTGTATCAAAAGGCTAGAATAACACTGTGCTTATTTTAAAACAGACAAGCACAGCATTTTGTAACAATGTGTAACAGTTAAGACTTTGCTGCGATTTTTTCTATTGCTGTGTCTGTTTCTTCAGAAATGCCCACAGATGTTCCCTGATTTCTCAATGATGACTAATTTACTACACAAACACAGATTTAGGATATAACACAAAGCCGCCTTCCCTGTGTTGCCTAGTTCAGGATACACAAAGGCTTTCCGCCCCACATGCATTTGACAGTCCTCCAGAGTTACTATCTCGTTTTCTGTAGAATTCTGCTGAACTCTACAAGAACATGCTTTTTTTCCAGCTGACTTTATCTATTGGGTTGGATACAATACTTGGTCAGATAAGACAAAAACTCTTGAATTCTATGGAATTTAAAGCAAGCCACAACTTGTGGCCTAGGGAACCCACTGGTTTCAGCAGAAACATTTTCCAAGTATAACTGTAATATTCAGAACCTTTGTGTGTGCATTTGGATTGTTTATGCATATCTTTATCATTACAAATTATATGTTTTGATATATATATATATATATATATATATAGAGAGAGAGAGAGAGAGAGAGAGAGAGAGTTTTAAATCTGTACTATTTTAAATAACTAAAACCCATCTTCACTCCCATTATTGAGAAAAAAGTGGGATATAAATAAATATACAAACCACAATAACAATACTTCATGGTACTTGGACATCTACTGACAGAGCTGAATTCAGGAGAAACCCCACTGTCACTGTGCAATATTTCTAATATATGCTCTGTTTCCAAATTGCAATTAGATTGATTTTTCTTCTATATTATATTCAGGATGCAAGTATAAGAAACAGAAAAGCGGAAAAATGGGTGGCTAGTTGACAGTTCTGACTCTTATTCAGGGTTGCCAGGTAGAACGGATGAGAAAGAAAGGGAAAAAATACAGCCAGTAAAGGCTTACATTTTTCCTTATAGGAGGCTTCATTGAGTGAGTCTACACAAAACATTTGAAGAGGAAGCTATCTCACCCAAACTTTGGAATACCAGTCCAAACTGAGTATGACATATATATGACAAATATATGATATATGACAAATATCTTACCATACTAGTTGCTTTGCTGTACACATTATCTTTTAAATGGCAATTTCCATCATTAGGAATTACTATTCCTGCTAATTTACTGTCAAGAGCCAGATGAGAAGTCTGATCTGTCATCATTAGGAGTAGACGTTTTGCTTCTTTGCGCCAACCAATCTGGCTCTATAAAATGGAAGAAAGAACAGCTAAGAGAGGTACAAAGGGAAATATGCAAGTCAATGAACTGGATTCCACCAACTCTATCTAGGGAGGACATGAGGGTTCACTCTTTCTCTTCTTCTATAGGCAATTAAAAAACATTCTTATTCTGTCAGAGTTTCAAAATTGGACTATAAATGGACTTAGTGATGGCCTTTTAATGGTGTACTGGGCTAATTTGTCAGTTATTATATCACCTTCTAATGAGTTTTACTAGCTTTAATTAATTATTATTTTTATAACTTTAATGCTTTTTTGTAAGGACGAAAGAAATAAGGTTGAACACTGTGAAAGCCATCCCCTGCATGGCTATCAGCCTCTTCTCAGTAGACTTAAATCAAGGAAAAGCTTCATGAGAACTACCACTCCTCTGAATGTTCCTCCAGCAACAGCAAGAGTATTCTTCTGGGCAGCTAAACTAGGAAATTCCAATTGGATGCCCCCGTCCCCCATAAGGGCCTACCTCTAAGGGCAAACCAAGAATAGGCAACTTGGAAGTCCCTGAACAAACTCAGAAGTGGAGTAGGCAGATCAAAAGACAACTTAGCAAAATGGCACTACCTAGAAGAACCCTCCACCTGTGGAGCAGAACAAATAAGTCCGAATCTATATGCTTGCCCACAATGCCCTGCCTCATGCACAGAAGAAGAATTGTTTAAAGCTACAGGCAATGCAGTTGTTGTTGCCCATTTTTGGTCTAAAATTTTTTCGCCGCTTGTGCTTTATTTTATCAGTTTTATACTTATCTACACAATGCTTTTGGCATGAAATAAATAAATAAATAAAAACTTGTACTAAATTGCAAGCTGGCTGGAGTCCCATTATTGGGGAAAAGGTGAGATAAAAATGTATAAAAATAAAAGACACAAATAATAAAACAGGAAGAGGGATCAGGCTTGTTTTCTGTTGTCCTGGAGACTAGGACTTGGAGCAATGTATTCATATTAGAGGAAAGGAGATTCCACCTGAACATTACGAAGAACCTCCTGACTGTAAGAGATGTAAGAGATAACTCAAACTGTGGTGAAAGTTCCTTAAACAGAGGTATAGGGTGGCAACCTGTGCTTGACGGGGTTGCACTCCCCCTGAAATCACAGGTCCGCAGCCTGGGTGTCCTCCTAGAGTCAGCACTGATGCTTGAAGCTCAGGCGTTGGTGGTGGCTGGGAGGGCATTCGCACAATTGAAGCTCGTGCGCCAGCTGTGACCGTACCTCATGAAGTCAGATTTGGCCATGGTGGTCCATGCCTTAGTTACCTCTAGATTGGACTATTGCAATGCTCTCTATGTGGGGCTTCCCTTGAAGATGGCCCGGAAACTCCAACGGGTCCAACGGGCAGCAGCTAGACTATTAACTGGAGTGAATTACAGAGAGTGGTCTCCATCTTTCTGGGGGAGATGGAGCGGGGTATTAATAAAGTTTTATTATTATTTATTATTATTATGGATCACCATCTGTCGGGGGTGCTTTAATTGTGCATGAAAACTGCATGGCAGGGGGTTGGACTAGATGGCTGATGTAGTCTCTTCAAACTCTATTATTCTATGATTCTAGGCTTAAAGTGTTTGAAACACATTGGGCTCAACCCAAGAAAGTTCCATGCTTATGATAGAAATAATGCATGTCCTAAAAACCATCTGACCAAGAATCATGAGGGAGATAGGGGGAGAAAAAGTGATGTGAACACAAGCAAAACTGACTTTAGCCTTATGAAGAACTATCAACACAACATTACAGCAACATGATTTTATATCAATCAGCAAGCAAAGAAATCAAAGACTTTCCTTCCCACAAATTATTAGTCACTTCTTACCTGGCACACAGCAGCCTGAAGCATAGCATCAAATCCTCCTTCAGGTGTGTCAATATTTCCAGAGATCTTTTGCTTATTGATGGCACGCCCAAATTCTGCTATTTGGTCAGTCAATGATAAAACATGGATATAGCCATGTGGAGGCATGCAATCTAGATCATAATCACTTTTGGGAAAAAGAAGAGATCCAACATTATAAAAATTGTTAAGATATCTAGGTTTATTCTGTACACTTTGTAGTATAGATGTTTTTAATGTATATTAGCTGAGGTACCTGGTGATACCCAGGTTATGGATTTTGTAAGGATAAATATTAGAAATAGTCATTGTTTGTTTTGGGATTTATGAAAGATCCCATTAGAAAATGTATAATGATGTGAGTATACCACAAATCCCATCATAATCCTTCATTGTCCCCCAAACTGCACCAGTAGCTAAAGTTGGTCATGATGGATATGTGCACCAGGTTTGGTTCAGATTCATCATTGGTGGGAGTCAAAGGGATCTTTGGATTTCTGTGGACTTTAACTCCCATCTTGCTGAGGTAATCACTCCCAAACCCTTCCATTATTTACTGTTGGTCATGGGGAGGGGGGTCTGTATGCCAGGCTTGGTCCCTTCCACACAAGCATATATCTCAGAATATCAAGGCAGATGATCCACAATATTTGCTTTGAACTGGATTATGTGAGTCCACACTGCCCTATAATCTAGTTCAATGTGGATTTTATACAGCTGTGTGGAAGGGGCCATAGATAGAAACTCACCCACAAACATGCAAACACATTTACACTATAGATAGATAGATATTGGTATATAAATAAATACATAACATGATCATTACATGTTGTTCACATTTGAAGCATTATTTGTTGTTTGTATTCAGGCCCTTCCTGTTAGCAGGTGAGCAATCAGAAAATCATGCATTAATTATAGTTTCCTGTTATGACTGAACTAGAAAGCTATGGTTAAAGCTAACGGACAAACTAAGATACTAAATCAATTGTCAGTATGTTCAGCTTGTTCTCAAGCTAAGCACCAGTTTTTTGCAATTGCCACTGAAAAAAATTACAATCAGTGGGGTTTCTTGGCTTATCAAAATGCAGAAAAGCTTTGTAGAGTTTCAATTTGTAGAGATTCAACTGTTAAGTGCAGCCCACTTGTTTAAATAAAAGAAAGGATGAAAGAACCTCATTTGCAATGGATAATCTGTCTTTTAATCTTTAAGAGGAAGTGCATACATTTATTACATATGAAGATGTTAGAAGATAGTTTAATAGTTTAAGCACTTAGGGCAGATTGAAATGTTTGCTTATCCCCACTCCATCCAGGCCAAGGACTCTGATTAAAACTGGCTTAGTTTGGTTTAGAACTAGTTCATATGTATCTTGTCCTTTCTTTTGGACTTACACAGATATGCAGTTAATATTACTTACCTGCACTGATTGTGGATTCTGCCTGGATGAATACTAATATAAGGTGACACTGTCTTATCCACATAGGATCCAAATCCAAGTCGTAAATCAACAGAAATATTTTTCATCTTTTGAGATAAATCAAACCCAACAGAGTTTAATTTTTCAATGTTTTTGTGCATTGATGCAGACACATCAACTAAATAATAGAGGTCCACAGGGTATTTTTCCAGTGGATGGACTTTCAACATAAAACTTGCTTCAGATCCTGATTTGAAAAAAAAAACAACAGAATTAAAATGAGGACTTTTGGATAAACATTGTATTTTAAAATCAATAAAACTGAAGCTTATCTTCCTTTTAAAACTAGATCCAGAGAATACAGCTTACTCTCGGGACCATGAATTAATAAATCAACAACCTGCCTTTCTCCTGGCATGGCAGCCATTCCATTTATAAAAAGGAGAAAGACAGGTTGTTGATCTATTATAAATGTGACATTTTTCTGGGTATTTAAAATGTTTCAGGTTGCTTAGTCAATCTTTATGAAAACGTCAAAAACAGGGAAGAAATACATAAATAAAGAACACTAAAATAGGTATTATATTAACCTCTGTTGAATTGGCTACACAAAGAAAGCACGCCTTTGTTAAAAGACATCAATTTCTTATCGCAGCATAGTTTGCAACTTCACTGTTTTTCATAAGTTTCAGAGTAAGAAAAATAATCTTTGTCAATATTCCTTCTAGAGTTCTGAGAGTGTGAAGCTAGTGTGATTTTATGAGAAATAATAGAAACTATGCCACAAAATGTAATGGGATTTGCATATGAATTACAGCCCTTAGTTCAGGGCTGGCAGGTTCTGAATGGACCTATTTGTTTTCTTTACAAATGGAACATCCTTGATCAGGAAGTTGCACTACAACACTAGGTTCCGTTCCAGTTTAGGTTCATCTGTATTTCCCAACTTTCCAGTTCTCTGCTTCCAGGACACTTGTTGCTGGATGGGAGCCACATTTCCTGAAGTAGTGACTTGCTTGTGCAGCCACATGGCAGGCAAGAAAATTGCCAGTCCCAGAAAGTTTCCCTTTCTCCCTCCCCACTCTCTCTTTCTCTCCCATTTTCACAGTGATGTCCACTAATAGACCTTACTCAGATACAAGATTAAATGGTTTAGAGCTCAAGAAGGGGTGGGAGATTTTGGTAGGAACAAGAGAAATCCTCCTCTACAAAGACCTACTATATTTTTCATATTCTGACATGGAATTTTGACAGCAAAGTGTTAAAACAAAAGCAGAAAGGGAGAGAGAGAGAATATAAGCATCACCAGCTATTCCTAGCAAGTTTAAAAAGCATGGATATGCCTGTGTATGGTCACCAGAATGAAACTTATTAGAAAAATGGAAAGTGGTAAAAGTAAAAATAATAATCTTTGGATGCGCTTGAAAGAAGTCTTGAAGGCATCTCTAGAACAGTGTTTCTCAACCTGGGGGTCGGGGCTCCTGAGGGGATCACAAGGAGGTGTCACAGGGGTCACTAAAGACCATCAGAAACCACAGTATTTTCTATTGGTCATGGGGGTTCTATGTGGGAAGTCTGGCCCAATTCTACTGTTGGTGGAGTTCAGAATGCTCTTTGATTGTGGGTGGACTATAAATCCCAGCAACTACAACTCCCAAATGCCAAGATCTGTTTTTCCCAAACCCCACCAATGTTCACATTTGGGCATACTGAGTATTTGTGCCAAGTTTGGTCCAGATCCGTCATGGATTGAGTCCACAGTGCTCTCTGGATGTAGGTGAACTACAACTCCAAAACTCAAGGTCAGTGCCCACCAAACCCAGTATTTTCTGTTCGTCACGGGAGTTCTGTGTGTCAAGTTTGGATCAATTCCATCATTGGTGGCATTCAGAATGCTCTTTGATTGTAGGTGAGCTATAAATCCCATCAAATACAACTTCCAAATGACAAAATCCCAGCAACAACTACCCCCAAATAAAAAAAAAAGCAATCCCCCCAACCCGACCAGTATTCAAATTTGGGCGTATTGGGTATTTGTGCCGAATTTGGTCCAGTGAATAAAATACATCCTGCGTATTGGACATTTACATTACGATTCATAACGGTAGCAAAATTACAGTTATGAAGTAGCAACGAAAATAATTTTATGGTTGGGGGTTACCACAACATGAGGAACTGTATTAAAGGGTCAGAGCATTAGGAAGGTTGAGAACCACTGGTCTAGAAGATTCCAAATGTTTTGTTTATTCATGCAAGGCTTACCTGACCTAGCTGTTTAATTTTGCATGTGTGTAGTTTTCCAGTTTGAATAAAAACTTTGCTGAAATGTGTTGAACTGCTTTTCTCTTTCTGTGATGCAGAAACCGATCAAAGTTTCTGTTAAAGAAAGAGTGCTCTTCTTTGTTAAATGAGGTATATCTGTACTTAAAATCCAACCACCACAAATTTATACAGCATATTTGGCAAGGGTTGTTCCAAATAATTCATTTTTTTTAAAAAAATGCACTTTCCCCAAAGTTCTTTCAAGAGACCATAATATGATGTCTGACAAAGACTGGAAAAGTATACCAGCTTTACATTTCATTTTAAGATGGAAAAAGCTGACTGCCAAATCCATGGGTATGGGTAAAGTGCCATGCTGAAGCTGGTTTTGAAATTAACTCCAAAATTGAACTCTGAATGTGTTTTATTATATCCCAGAGGTGGCATCTTTATAAATTCACTGATTTTTTCCAGAATATTATACATACTAAATGAGATTATATGCCTGTTTCAAATAAGGGAACACAGATGCTGTGAAAATACTGTTGGAGGGACATCATAATAAAGGTAAAGGTTTCCCCTGACATTAAGTCTAGTCGTGTCCAATTCTGGGGAGTGGTGCTCATCTCTATTTCTAGGCCGAAGAGCCTGCGTTGGTCATAGACACCTCCAAGGTCATGTGGCCAGCATGACTCCACAGAGTGCTGTTACCTTCCCTTAGAAGCGGTACCTATTGATCTACTCACATTTGCATGTTTTCGAACTGTTAAGTTGGCAGAAACTGGGCCTAATAGCGGAAGCTCAACCCGCTCCCTGGATTCGAACCGCCAACCTTTCTGTCAGCAAATTCAGCAGTTCAGCGATTTAACCTGCTGTGCCACCATCATATCAAATCAGAAACATTCATGTACACATGATTCCTTTTCAATTTATTATACAACGAACAAGTGCCTGAGATTACAGCCATGCTTGACTTGGCAAAGAAACACAAAGCTGCATTGTATTTCTCCAGTAACTAAAAAAAAAGTTACACGTAGAAGCCACCCTTGTCATTTCTGTTAAATACACTCTCTTTAAAAGGAGATGATGAAACACAAATAAGATTTCAGAATATCTTATTCTTTTACCTAACACTTCTCCTTTGGACTTATTCAGCATGAAATAATTTCCATTAGTAGAGTTACTCATTGTCTTTTCTTGCAATACTATTCCATGGAAGAGATAATCATGTTTTTTCCATGACAATTGCCAATACGAACAAAAGAATTACAGTGATTTATAGAAATATGCAGACCCATGAAGGATTATGGAGTTGTGGGAAAGTCATTATCTTTTGTCTAATCGTCCTCAAAGGGCCAGTGTGAGGTGGGTGGAATGGGACAGCTTTGGGCAACCTATCCCAAATTCCTTTTTAAAAAATATCCCTTGTGGGGACACAAATGTGAAATAATGGTTAAATACCTTTCAATAACTTATTCTCATCAGGCTTGGTCTATTTATATGGAATGACAGATTATAAAATATAAGTATGTCACAGACTTGCAGATGTTTGTTACAATAGCAATGAATGAAATCCAGAACATATTTCTTTATCACCTGGGTATGAAGATACAGCTAAGCTCATAAGGCCATACATGGTTGTCACACTAAGAATAGATACTTGAAGGACTCTGAATCAAATGGATCCCATGTTTATGTGATACATTTACAGTAATGCAAATTTTGAAGAGTAAGGCCCTCACTAATCCCAACAGAGTGTCCAAAAGTGAGGGTGGCTTTTTTGATTAAAGTGATTTTTTTTTTGCATTTAGGTAAAGGTTTTCCCCTGACATTAAGTCTAGTTGTGTCTGACTTTGGGAGTTGATGCTCATCTCAATTTCTAAGCCAAAGAGCCAGCGTTGTCCATAGACACCTCCAAGGTCATGTGGCCGGCATAACTGCATGAAGCATCTTTACCTTCCCACTGGAGTGGTACCTATTGATTTACTCACATCTGCATGTTTTCGAACTGCTAGGTTGGCAGAAGCAGCGGCTAACAGCAGGAGCTCACCCCACTCCCTGGATTTGAACCTGAGACTTTTCAGTCAGCATGTTCAGTAGCTCAGTGGTTTAACCCACTGTGCATTTTCTTTTGGCATTTTTTTCCTATAAAACAGATACTTCATAAAGCCACCCACAAATACTTCGGATCACAAGAAGGATAGCTCATTGACAATGCAATATTGCTAAGAAAATCAGTAGCTAATGGGAAGTTGAAAAAACACTTGGAAGAAAAAGCATAACCCAAAGGGATTAACAAATAATATGCTTTCCTCATCCCTACTATATATGTATAAATATAGCCCCGAGAATCACTGTATATATCCAGCTAATGTTGACAGATTCTCCCCAGTTTTCTTTAGCTAAGTTTTTACAAATGAAGTTCACACAAAGGTTCCAAACTTCCAAGCAACACCCACAATGTTAAATACTTTTTGTCGTGAATGAAGTCTTTGTTTTCTCTCATTTAAATCATCAATTTAAAACCCTGAGAGTCTGGAACACCAACTTTATGAATAAACAATGACTTCTACTCTGCTCTGCATTAAAATACCACAGCAACTGTTTGCTGGGGAACGAAGTCTATACCTGTGTAACTCTTAACATGATTGAGACCAGGACATGCTCAACAATTACACTCCGCTCTTATTTTGAGAATTAACAGATGACCCAGTTCCATCTTTGTCGATGTGTAAACTTCCTGTGAATCTTTGCGATGCTGGAGGAAGTCCATACAGTATCTCTACTTTAATCTTTTGCTTGACAATATTAGATATATACGTTAAGTAAACAATGTTGAATGCTTGAATACAAGATGAAGAAGCAAGTAGTAAATTTCCAACCTATCATCCCTCTTTCAAGAATGTTTGTTAAAATATCTATGTAGATAATTTTTTTTTATTGTTGATGTGCTGTAATGGAAATTCAAGATTAAGCTAGAACTTTCTCCAGGAGAATGATTTACTTACTTTTAGTTAGGTTGCTTGTATATTATTTGATGTATTTTGTTTTGAAGTAATTTGTTTGTATGTTCTTTGTAGGCATTGACTATTTGCCATATGTGTTGGAAACCATCCCGAGTCCCTTCGGGTGGCTAGTGCAGTCTTCAAATAAAATTTTCTTGTTGTTGTTGTTGGTGTTGTTATTATTATTATTACTCTTGTACCATTCCAGTATCCTATTTTTTATTCTAACATCCCCCACCCCATATAAATATCTCTGAAAACAGGGTGCACCTTATAATCATGGGTGCTTGTATGTATGTGTGTATATGTTTGTTGTTATTATTATTATTACTCCTATACCATTCCAGTATCCTATTTTTTATTCTAACACACACCCCATATAAATACATCTGAAAACAGGGTGCACCTTATAATTATGGGTGCTTGTATGTGTATGTGTGCGTATATATGTTTGTGTGTGTTTGTGTACACACATATACATATTTTTTGGTTGTTGGCACTGAAATTAATGCGTATTTTACAATCAATGTCATCTTAGAATCAAATAAATTCAGTATACGTATGCAACACACAAGGAGCTGCCTGAATACATTTGTCAGGATGAAAGCTTCAATAGTGCTCCTCCATCTTTGAGGAGAGAAATGGGCAACTTGGCCAGGATGCCCACGGTCCATAGACCAAGAATGCCAAATGTTGGTGGGTTGCCTTCTGTAGCAACCACAAAGGCTCCTCCCCCTCATCATTGAGGACACATTTTAAAAACAAAATCAAGAACAATAACAAACAAAAGGCATTCATTTAAAAAAACAAAAACCCTGGCTGCCTCAAGACTAGTGTCTTCCATAGCAGTGGGGTGTTTCAAGGTGCTGTCCAAGTGCTGAACCTATTTTGGGGATAGATTTCATTATCTTCAGACTAAAATCAGGTATAGACCTACTGCCCACTGACACAGAAACCACCAGCTATTGTTTTTTGCCTGGGGAAAAATATTTGAAGGAAGCCAAAGTCCTGCTCAAACCATTATTTGAAAGTTGTTGGAAGGACCAGAGACAGGATGAACATGTTAGCAGAAGTGTAAAAGTAGTGAGAATCAGAACTCATCCCATAGCAGGAAATTCCATATGGGAAAAGATACTCAAATCAGAGAATGAAATCTAAATATAACCACAGAAATCATGTATCATGTTTCATTTATACTATTTGGCAGAGGAAAAAAGTAACTACTGAACAGAGCTGTTCTCTTTTAATTATCTAATTTCAGTGAACATTTAGTGGAAAGTAGACAATGGATAATGACAGGCAGGCTCATTACTGTTTAAATCAATGCCAAGGATATAAAACATGTGGAAGCCAAAACTAGCACAAGGAAATTTTAGATGAAGTAAAGAATGCTAATTGAATTGGTGTGTTCAAAGGGTTCCAGTATGAGTTACATTGCTTTCTTTCTATTCTTCTTTAAATCTCACTTTGGAAGAGTTGTTCAAAAGTACATATCTTTCTGTATCAAAAGAAAAAAAATAAGCTGGACAACAAGTGGTGGGTGAATAATACACCCTCCTTTTCCATCTATAAACTGTGCCCAACTTAACTATCTATATTTACATACTAAAACAATACACTTGTTTTGATAAACAAACCTGGATAGAGGTGAACGGTCACTTCTCCTGGTGTCACTTGTACATGAACTTCATTGCTGGATATGCTTATATCATCTTTGGGACTTTCTATAAAATCCTCCCTGCAGCCCCTTTTTATTAAATGGAGAACTTTGTCACATCGTTCCTTCCACCTTGTTCCAGTCATAAAATCCTGTTTTGAAAGAGACAAAATAAATAAATGAAAATAAGAAAGAAAACTTTGAATAATACCATGATGCATTGCCACAACATCCAAAAATGAAGTTTTCTAGTACAGATAATTGTATTGGGACTGCCCTTGAAGATGGCTCAGAAGCTGTAGCTAGGAAAGAATACAGTCATCTGGTTGAGCATAAGGCATCAATTCTACATCACTTACACAAGTGGCCAATCCATTTCAAAGTCCAATTCAAAGCATTGATACTGAACTTTTGTAGTTAACAAATGGAATCCATCAAGATAAGTAGCTAGATTAATAACCACAAGACATAGGATTTTTAGGGCAGTGGCCTCACGTTTGGAGAAGTCCTTAGCGAGATTCCATGAAGCTCCCTCCTGCTTTTCCTTCAGGCAAACCCTTTCTTTTTTTTAATTTCAGGCGGCTTTTAATTAAGAGAATATTTGCAGAGGACAGCTGCTTTGAGTGGTGTGAAAACACAAGGAAGGTAAAATGCAAGCTTTATAAAAAAAATAATAAATAAACAGTTTAATGACATTGTTGTGGTATGTTGTTTTGGATTCCATGCCAGAATGGCTCGCTTGCTTTCCACTTGTTTGCTTTTTCTTTTTTAATCTGTTTTTTTGGGTTACATGTCTTTTTGCTTATTATTGGTCTTTTTTGTATGCCCCTTTTGGAAAAAAAGTCATATTTTGAAATCTAATTTTCTATAATAAAACCCAAAACTCATGGGCTTATTTTCACCATGAGGAGTTGAATGGACAGACAGTACTTTGGTTGCACAGATTCCAGACTCTGAAAATTTAGGAACAAGACATTCATCTGTAGCTGCTATCAGGACCTCCACATATATGACTACCATTTACTCAGAATTAAGAGGAACCTTTTTTACAGTTTGATTGTGCATGGCAACTTATTTGTCATTAGGCATTAATCTGTTAGAGCTCTTAAAAACTTCAGGAGAGGCATGCTACCCTATCTCAGGAACTTCGCAGACTCATTTGATACTTTCTTGGTGCTGCTCCCAGACTTGGGAATTACCTCTTTTGTTCTCCTTCCTCCAATAAAAGCTTATTCCACCAAACTTTTGAAATTGACTGTGATGGACTTTTAGTGACATCATGTTGTTTTGTTGGTTTTTATATGTTTTTTAAAAATAAATTTAAATTGTGATATCTTAGTGTCTATTTTGGGGCCCCTGGTGGTGCAGTGGGTTAAACTGCTGAGTACTGAACTTGCTGACCAAAAGGTTGGCAGTTCGAATCTGGGAGCAGGGTGAGCTCCCGTTGTTAGCCTCAGCTTCTGCCAACCCAGCAGTTCGAAAACATGCAAAAGTGAGTAGATCAATAGATACTGCTTCTGCAGGAAGGTAACAGTGCTCTACGGACAACATTGGCTCTTCAGCTTAGAAATGGAGATGAACAACACCCCCCAGAGTTTGTCACAACTAGACTTAATGTCAAGGGAAACCTTTATCTTTAATTGTTTATTTTCTATTTTAAAAAGTTTATATTTATACATTTCTACTGGCATTTCTGCATAGGTTTTAATCTGTACAGTGTTTATTAAACTATAAGCTACCTTAAACGCCATTACTGGGAAATAATGGATATAAATTAAATGAATAAATTTGAGTCATTTCAGTCCTATGGTGACCCTAAGGAAAATCCATCATGGCATTATTTGTTGGGGAGGAGGAGGGTGGTCTGCCTTTTCTCACTTCTAAGATTGATAGACAATGATTTGCTCAAAATAATTCAGTGGGTTTCAATGACAGAGTAGAAACTCAAAGCCTGGCCTCCAGAGTCCTACTCCAACATGCAGACCACTACATCTCCATTCAAAACATCTCTGTTAAGTCTTGCACAGTGCACACCACTCAGAACCTTAAAAACAGGATTCCTAGGATGTGGAGAGAGCCCTGGTTGAAAAGAGATGTACTGATGCATATGCCCTATACTGATATTTAATGTGATATGTGTATTAATTTATTTGGTGTTTTTAAGGCTCTCTTGCAAAATGAGACTCAGGGTACTTTATGGAAAAATTAACAAAAATGGAAAAAATAGAACCACAAAAAAGATACCATCTTACAACCCAATGTAACAAAAGCAATTCAATAATGCTTCCATTACAAATAATACTCAATGACCATAAAATCCCTTTTCTCTGTGGCCATTCTATTGACAATGCCTTCTTGTAAAAGGCATTGCCTGCTAGTGGAAGGACAACAAGGGCAAAGTCAGTCTAGTTTTCCTCAACAGGGGTTCTGCAGTCCAACACAATATCCAACAAACCCTATACTCATGTCACTATCGACCTTCCCTCTGAGGGTATTAAGAGAATGATCTCAGTGGCTGAGTAGGCTCGTAGAAGAGATAACTTAATCATATAGGATTTTATAAGTTTTAAAGAGTCCTAAAGCAATTCAGAAGGCTGTGAGGTGGTAATATGAGAGTCACATGTTTCTTAACCCATCCCAATCAAGAATTTGGCCACATGCATCCAAGTTTGGAACTAGCAATCCTTAGGTGGGTCCCAGAATTACCAACATGTGTACTATTATGCATAAAATGAAGGATTGGATTCATAGATCAAAGTTTCTGTGATCTTCACATCTGATATACAGATGGCATATGACTTCCTCTCTGCTGGGATGATCTTTAAATTCTGTAATAATGGAGTGTATCTGTAATAGATGGTAAAACTCTATCAAGAAAAATTTCACTAAACTAGGAGTTATTTGAAGCACATGGCAGGAAGAGTTGTCAGCAAGAGCCTCAATGAGCAACTTTTTGTTCTTTGTTTCTAGCAACCTCATCACACAGCAGATGTTTAGCATCCTAGGATGCTGCTGCCCCAGTTGAGTGACCGAGCCCATGATGCCCACCACGTGATGTAGGCCCACTTCTGACGGGGCTCTGTTGCTCAACTGGGGTGGCAGCATTGTAGGACACTGCACCACCAACAAGGGAGCCACCCATGTTCCATTTGGAGCAATGGGGCTAATGCTAGGACAAGCCGTGTGGCGACACTTCCCCAAGAGTGATGGAGAAGCATCGCTGACAGCCGGCCAGGGCATCAGGACTGCTCAGCTGCTCCACTGATTCACCCCAGAAACTGGCAAGGGGGACCTCATCAATGTGATGACGTCCTATAGGTTTATAAACAGTAATTTTTAATAGATCAAACTTTAAAATAGGAGGTTTTAAAACTACTCAGGTTCCATTACCAAATGATAGTATCATTACATCTTTCTTCCAAATTCTAAAAGTGGAAATCAGACATGCTAAAATATGCTAGGTTTTTTACAAGATGCCTTCTATTTGCCAACTTTCTAAAATTAAGCTGGAAAGAGCAAAAAACATTGGCTGCAATAGAAGACTACAATGGGGCCAAAAGCATTCTTCACCAAAGCTATAAAACTGGCTGAAATTGCTTGGAGCAGGAAACATACACAAGTGGGAGGATACCTGACAGATGCCCTATTACCATGGTAATAAAACTATTATTCCGTGTACATTGTGATGTTGTTGCTGCCCCCTTTGCCAACCCTTGGAACAGTTACAAATTTTGAGAACTGCATTCATGCATGCCAAGACCTGCAGTCTCTGAGCAAAACATATTCTGGTCAGACAGAAGCCATCACCTGTTGGCTGTTCTTGAAAAAAACAAACATTTTAAGTAAGATAACTTTTTAAATAGGGAATGTTCAGTTTCGGTGAATTGAAGACTATCAATGTCAACTCTCTTATATAAGGCATATGCTAAAGAACCAAAACTAATAACGAAGAATGCCTAATTATAATCAATCAATCAATCAATCAATCAAATAAATTCAAATACTGTGAACCATGGACGTTAAACTCCTCCATATAAACTAGGGATAATGGGAGTTGCAACTCCAAATCATCTGAAAAGTGAATGTTCCTCATCCTACTATGAAGTGCCATTTATTCCCCAACTTCCCATGACTACCTATTCTTATATAGCTGCTTATGCAGTCTAAACATTATTAAGCAGTTGTTAGAATTTCCTCTTTGATGCTAGAGACTTTTGGCTTCATTTGCACAGGTGGAGAGAAGTAGTCAACAGATAAATAAAAACCATGAAGACTAGTACAGAAGAAGAGCTCACCTCTTGACTGCACCATCCACATTCTGGACCCAGAGCAAGGCATGTAGCACATGTTGTTGCATGTGAAGTGGTACATCTGTTGTCTGCTGTTATAGTAATAATTAGACAAGGAGAAAAAGAAAGGACATTCAGCAATTTGCATACATAAATGAGATGGAAAAATTACAAATTCTGACACTTAGAAAAACCATGTAATACTAGATTTCTAGTATTAGGGCAGCTCTAAGAATTCTATGATAGCAAAAATGTAAAATTTTACTGGTGCTTTGAGTGCTATCAAAATGACCATCTCTATCAATCTATGAGAGTTCAAGAACAAATCCAGTCAGATACAAAGAGAGAAGTGGATTCATAAACCATGGTACAGTGGAACCAGAGTTCATGGTGTTGAAGTCCTGGAATTTTTTGATTATCGTGGATTATGACATCATTTTGTCACCCATCTTGGGCTGCCCCTTGTCTCTGAGTTTAGTGGCAAATTTCGGCAATTCAGAGTAACCAAAGAGGAAATGTATTATATGTATTGTTGAAGGCCTTCATGGCCAGAATCACTGGATTGTTGTGTGTTTTCCGGGATGTATGGCCATGTTCCAAAAGCATTCGCTCCAAAACCTGTAAGATTGGGAAGAACAGATTTCTTTTAAGGCCTGGTATACCCTGGTTATTATAACTTCTGGATTTGCCAACTACTCACTGATCTGCTGTTAGATGTTGTTATCCTTCATTAAGGTAGGCACCTGTGGTCAAGTAGTCACTATTTTAAATGTATTTCCTTACTTTCCTTCTCTACATAAGACAAATACAATATATATACAGTAGATACGAAAGTAAGCAAAATGCTAAGTAGAGTATCGCTTATCCAACATAAATTGGCCGGCAAAATGTTGGATAAGCAAAAATGTTGGACATAAGGAGGGATTAAGGAAAAGCCTAATAAATGTCAAATTACATTAAGATTTTACAAATTAAGCACCAAAACATCATGTTTTACAACAAATGGACAGAAAAAGTAGTTCAATATATGGTAACGTTATGCAGTAATTACTGTATTTACGAATTTAGTACTAAAACAGACAAGGGTTCTTTCTTTCTCCCATCCTGGACATTACTCCACAGGTAATATACACTCCACTTCCCTCACCTGTGGATCTGGGCAGAAGGCAGACTGCATTGGATAATACAGAACATTGGATAAGCAAAGGTTGGATAAGCGTGACTCTACTGTGTGTGCATATATAGATAGATAGATATAAAAGATGCAGAAATTAAATTCTTTTTTCCCCTCTTCATCCCCACTCTCCATGTAGCTTCTGCCACAAATGGATTTGGAGGGATATGTGAAGTGGTTTATCTCTGAGATTAATGCTCCGTAATAACTTGGCCATAAGCAATTCACCGCGGAGGCTGCCATTATTACAAATTACAGTGTCTCTTGGATGCTTTGTTATATGTTTGTATTCTTTTTTTTAAAAGGACAGCATGCCATCTACTGTTTTCAACCTTTTGACAGAGAACATTGGAAGTCTGCCCTTGAAATGCAATCTGTCTTTCTCTATCCAGCCAGGTCTCAAGAGTTTCCAGAGTGGCAACAATGAAGTACTGCTGTCTCCACATTTGGAAAGCCAAGAATTGAAAACTAGAATACGAATACATCAATTCCAGGTGCTAAACTGAAAAATAAACCCTGATGATCAACAGTACTAAATAATGAGAATGTGGTTCTTCAACTGTGGGCTAAAATTTGTCAGTGTTGTTACGAACCTTCAAGTCATATCTGATTTATGACAACATTAAAGTGAATTTTTCATGGTGTTTCCTTGAAAGGTTTTCTTTGGTCTTATTCATAGTGCCCTTCTACACTGCTATGTGATCCAGATGATCTAAGCAGATAATCCACATTATCTGCTTTGAACTGGATTATATGAGTCTACACGGCTATATAATCCAAAGCAGATAATCTGGATTTTATATAGTGGTGTAGCAGGGGCCTTAGATGGCGCCTAAAATTAAGAGAGCATGTTTTTCCTAAGATTACCAAGTGGCTTTCTGTGGTATTTGAACCCTGGCCGCCCAGATTCCTATTTCAACAGCACTAACATTAGCTTGATCTGAATCAAAAGCACCAAGGCACTTCTAAAATCCAAATCATCTGCTTTGAAGCGGATTCTATGGCAGCGTAGACTCATTTATAATCCAGTTCAAAGCAGATAATGTGGATTATCTGCTTAGATCATCTGGATCACATAGCAGTGTAGAAGGGGCCCTAATTACAATAAACATTTAATCCATAAGATTTACACAAGAGCTGAATATTCAGAAAATGATTGAATGGGTGCACTCTAGATAAGACTAGTATTTGAATCTGGGCATTAGATACAAAAGTAAGCAAAATGCTAAGTGCTTCTTCTTTATTAGTACAAATACACTAAACTTCCTTGCATCAAACCTGATTTAGAGAGATTTGTTGATCAAGTCACAGACACGCTTTCTGACCTCAATCCAATTGCTAGTCCAAACTAGAGAGCATCCACTTAAACTCCTACTGCTTGACAAAAGCCCATTAATTAAACACACCTGCATACTATAACTGGGAGCCCCAAATGGATTGAGATCTCAATGGGCAACACACTAAAAACTGATACTGCAAAATGCTGGGTAAAGTCAACACGTGAGATAGCTGGACTATATAAACAGCAAAGCCTAAAATAGTTTCTGTTGGATTTTTCACTTGAGACTGTACACTGGGATTTACATGTCTGTGTGCATTTAAGCAATTGCAAAAACCAGTACCTTACTCCCTTACATAGAGAAATGAAAAACATGAAAGAGAAAGAGTTGCTACCTAAATTTCTCCAAAACACCACAAAGACACAATAGAAGCTTGCCAAAAGCCATATATTTGATATATTAATGACATATAAAAAGCCAAAGAAGCTGCCTTTTATGGAGTTAGACCACTTGTAAATTAGCCCTACAGATCCAGAACCAAGAATTTAATCAACTATGGGTTGTCATATCTCAATTGATTAAATGGCTGTCACCTCAATGCAATCCTGAAGCATTTATGTTCACATCACCACCACAAAATGGTGATCATCCACCTTTTTTGTATTTATGCTGGGTCTCAGAACACATATGGGCTACTCACAGGGACTGCATGGCTCAATGATCTAATCCATCTGATCCAGAGGTTCTCCAGTTGCCCTGTCCCTCCTCTATCTATTCCCACAAAAGGGAATTGAGGTGCAGCAACAACTGGAGAAGATCTAACCAGTGTTTCAACCATAGAACCAGAACAACAGGGGACTTAATCACACCCCCTTTCTTCAAACAACTGATAAGAATGGGAATTCATTATGGGTGGATCTAATCAAAGCAATTTTCTATCATTACTTTACACTTGGTAATAGTAGATCACCAAAATTTCAAGTAAGGGTCTATCCAATCCCTCCACAGATGTTCTAGTTCAGTGGTTCTCAACCTGTGGGTCCCCAGGTGTTTTGGCCTACATCTCCCAGAAATCCCAGTCAGTTTACTAGCTATTAGGATTTCTAGGAGTTGAAGGCCAAAAGATCTAGAAACTCACACGTTGAGAACCACTGTTCTAGTTGAAACACTGGGTCTTCTGGAGACAAACCTGGTTATCTTCTAGCCAATTGTGATATTTGGACTTTTTTGGTACCTACACATATCTGAAGCCACATAATCCAGATTATCAAATCAGATAATTCACATTTTCTGCATTGAACTGGATTATATGAGTCTATACTGCCATATAAACCAGTTCAAAACAGATAATCTGGATTTTATATGGCAGTGTAGATGGGGCCGTAATAGCAGGGAGGTTTGCTCTGAACCAAAGAATCTAGAAATTCTGCATGAAGCTGCTATCAGTGTTTTTGACCCAATTCAGTTTGGTTAAATGCAATCAGTATAGAGGGGTTTATAAATCACTCACCTTAAGGAGCCAATTTGTTTCAAATTTAATGTATCGATAAATGTTACGAAGAAAAAATGTACTAAGTGTCTGTAATTCCTTTCAAAGAGTTGAAAACCTGGGTTAAAATGTGCTTCAACAATCTCTCACAGAATAACATTTACAGACATGTATTCATTCATGAAATATTTCTCATTTAGCTGCCAGTCTATTTAAAAATATAAATAAATTAGACCAAGGCATTACTAAATTATATATATATATATATAACTAGAGCTTGAAATATTTTTTATGAGTTGGCTTCATGCAGAACAGAGATTTTTCTCACAATTTTACCCACAAAGCCCAGACAAAACTGAACGGCTATGTTGCCAAAAATCAAAAGGCAAGCTTCTATTGGCTTTAGTTAAATAACTAATACTTGCCAAAAGGTATTTTAAAACAAGACAGGCGGCATTTTGGCATAAAAAATTGCACACCATATACCCATATTAAAATCTTATGTGTGATCATGTCCAGATGTATATCAGGTTATGCATTCTAGGAGAATGACATCTTAGTTCTCTAAATTAGGCTTAATGAGCCAGGTATTGCAAGAATGAATATTTAGGAATTGAAAGAGAGAATTTTTCTAGAACAAGAAATACATGCACTTGAAGAGCAGAGCAAAGATGAATGCCTCACATAGTATACAAGCCACAGGATACTCAAACCAAGTCCTTCATCTGAAGGACTAGTATTATTGAACCAAACTGATAGTTAATACTAGTGAAACTGAACCAGTCACCTAAGTTCAGAATATAATTGCTATTCAGTCTACAGAAACACACTCTGAAAATAGGGTTCAGGGATTGGTCAAAATTGGTCAGTTTTGGAATAAAAAGTTTACTATACTCCAACAAAACAGGGTACTGCTTATTTAAAAAATCCTGTTGCTTGTTGGAGTTTGGAACAAACATTTTGTTCCAGATTTCACAATTTTTAAACAATTCTGATTTCTTTTCTTTTCTTTTCTTTTCTTTACTCTCCTTGTTTATCTCCAGAATCCTGGGTCAAAGTTCTATACTACATGAAATATGAAATAAGGAGATTTATAATAAGAATTGAGCTGCTTAGTTGTGGCCCCTTCTACACTGCCTGATAATCCAG